GGGTCCCACCAAAATTAAAAAATCAAGTGAACCCCACTCTATGTGAGTGTTATGTACATCTCTATGTACATTTATTATGTACATGTAGCATTTTCCTTTCACATCAATAAGTAAATTTCAACCAACATTTTATGTATGTGAGACACTCAGACTTGCTATAAAATATTAGTACATTGTTGTTAGCTCTTTGTATTTGTTTAAACTGAAAAATAGAGAAATGTTCACCTATCCACGGTGGGCGCATGTTAATATGCCCACCGCGTAGGTGGCATGCACTTATTGGTGATGTATTTTTTTAAACATATTAACATCACCAATGAGTGCATGTCACCTACGCGGTGGACATATTAACATGTGCACACCGTGGGTAGAGGAGCATTTCTACTTAAAAATATAATATTTTATTAAAATAAACACCTAATTTTTAAACATGCATGTTAGAGGGCGGGAAAGCAATGACGGAGCCACATAGGGCCCAGAGGGGCCCGTGGGCCCGCCTCATTTTTTTTTTTAAAAAAAATCAATATGTATATATAATGCTAAAAAATATGTATAAAAATATATATCTACAATATACTAATAATTAAAATTTATTAAAAATCAATAAATATATAAAACTATTATAAAATATGTAGAGAAATGTAAAACATATTTACAATATAATATATTAGTAGTTAAAACTTATTTTCCATGCTATTTTTATTTAAAGTAATAATATTATTTATTTATTGAAAAATATACTAATAATCCTTATATTTTAAATTTTTAGATAAGTTTTTGAATTTTTTTTATAATGATTTACTATTTCGATCTCTTAATTGTAATCGATTTAGTGGTTTATAAAACTGAGTATTTATTAGTTGGCATGTTATATTTTTATATGTTGATTTTTTACTCTTTTTTTTTGTGTGTGTGTGTAATCACATATTTCTAACTTTATTTAATTATTTTTTTAATGTTCATTTGATAAGCTTTCATCAACAAAAATGTTATGGAATGTTGTGTGTGTAAAAGTTCAACTCAAATCAAATTTTGAACCAAAACTTATTCTTCCGTAAATTATAGATCTTAAATTATAAATACATGAAATATTTTTTTTTATTATTTGTTTTTTTTAATTTTGAAGGTGATACGGATTCTAAGTTTTAAAAAACTTGATGGTACACGTATTAATATTTATATTTATAGTAAATATATTTATATGAACAGAGTGTTTCGACTTAAACTACAAGCTCGTTATTTAACATTTAAAATCGCCCCCCTGAGTAAAATTTCTAGATCCGTCATTGCGGGGAAGCTAGTAGCCCGCCAAAGTCCTCACCAATTGGTGAGGCGGACTGACCCGTAGCTTACAAAAGCCCGCCAATTGCCAAGGCGGGAAGGGCCGGCCCGCCGTCCTAAGAGTATCGCCAACGGTGTTTCAATTGAATAATTGTGGAGATAGTGTTTGGAAAAACTTCTCCAACCGTGAATTTTCTACTTCTATTTGTGATGATGCTGCATGAAAGATACATAAAAATTCTAGAATCCTTTATGCGTCTTAAAATCCCGTTAGACACGATTAATCTTTTTTTTTCTTCTTCTACTTGTTTTCTTCCAACTGTCACCACTCACGAGAGCCTGTAATAAGAATAAAGAAAAAAGGGGGAAAAAGAGAAATAAAAAGAAAAACCTGACGACGATTGAGAACTATGAGTTGGAGGGGGGCAACGGTGATTGAGACTAGCACGGGGGCCGCAACCGAGTGGCGAATGGCGAATGGCGGCGCACTATAATGGCGGATGGCGACGAGCAGGTGGAGGGCCAGAGACATTTTTGTTTGTTTGGTATAGTTTGAATTATTAGAATTGTCTGAGATGAGGGCTTGAGGCACGATCGAAAAGGGAGTTGAGGAATTTGGTCTTTTATATTTTTTATTTTGTCGATAATTAATAGGCTAGTCTGCGGGCTGTTTTGCCTCGCCGTGGTGTGCGTGACCCTTTTAGGCTCGCTCCCCAGCGGGTATTGAAAATCCCAGTCCAATCCGCCTCTATGACGGTGTGGTGCCACCGGCCCGACTCAGGGACTAAGCACATTTTGACTGCTCTATGTACATGTTAATATTGATTGTACTATTATATCCATATTTTAACAAATATTATTTTAAGAAATTAGCCATATAAACATTTTAAATTTTCAGCTACCACCAATTTCCACTAGTTCGAAGTTTCAATTCCACACAACGGATATATATGTGGGTGTGGATGGGCTCATTGGTTAAAAAGGATTGTAACCATATAAGATTCGATAACTAAACAAAAACAAAATGTCAAAATTATACACTAATAAATGACATATTGGACACTATCTCCAGCGGATCCCACCATCTCCCTTCCTCTATTCTTTGTGGAACCCCACCACTGCAACCCCCTGCCCAGCCATTGTCACCGTCGGATATCTGCTGGCATCAACTATGGTCTCGACTCGTCAATTGCGCCCCTTGTCGCACTGCGATCGCAACCTCATCTAAGCGATAGGAACTCTCGGTGGTTCTCTGGGCCAACTAGGAGGCCCAATGCTATTGCTAGACCATTCCTCTCCTCCACCGCTCTAACTCGGCTTGGATCAACTTGACGAAACCCTCGACGGCGCCACGATAACGACCTATTGCTACACCACTTATTGTTCTCCCGTCGGTGGAGCAACATTTGTTTCTTCTCCTTTTACTGAATTAAGCGCGCGGCGGGACGACGACAACTTGTCAAGGCGGACGAAGTCCTCGACTAGGTTGAAACCCTCCAATTCCACCACCAAACGGTGACGAAGTGTATAATTATACTATGAAATGTCCTATTTTTATTTGTCATTTTTCAAAGTAAGAATTTCTAATGCAAACTTGTTGAAAGAATATGCCGCCTAACCTTTAGCCATAACATCAACATTTACTGTTCATGAAAATGGGTATTTAACTATCTTTATTATTAACTTATTATGCTTTAGTTAATAGGCGCGGGAAATTCAAAACAGCGCGAAACAAAAACCCACCATTCGCGCGCGAGGAAAAAAAATTCCTCACGTGAAATAACCCGCTACCGGTTCAGCCGGTCACCCCAAACCACTGCCCAAATCTCATCACTTCGGATTTTCCTTTGTCTTCCCTCACAAAAAGTTTTGTTCTTTTTGACCTCTTTATACCTCCAAAATCCAATTAAAATTCTCCCTCCACATCGCAATTCACAGAGGGATCGAAAAACCCAAGCCCTAATCTCAGCTATGGAAGCGAAGGACGCCCGGCGAAGATTAGTTCAGTCGACCCTGTTTCCTCGCGCCGACAGCTCGATCAAAGCCTGTGCAAATCGCGATGGCGATAAAGGTGAAGAGGCGGCTGAGGGAAGTCAGGAGGAACGTGGAGGTAGCAAAAAGAGGAGTGGAGGTAAGAGGAAGGGCAATCCGAAGTCAGTGAAGACGACGCGAGCTTCTCCTAAGGAGGTGCGTGTTTGGTCTGCTCATCTTACAGTTTCTTGTTCTTCTTTTGTTTGATCGTTTCAATTATCATGTGGCGATTAGTGTTACCTCCTGCATTGATGGATTCATGACGAATTGATATGGTTCCGGTGTTTGAATTTGGGTTGGGTGTGCATATAGACTTAGTCAGCTGTTGTTTTTTTGTGGGGAAACCTTGGAGACATTGCAATGTTAAATTTCAACTTAATTAAGTTTGATCGATCTGCAGTGTTCTTGTTTGTTTTGGTTCTGGTGTGCTTATAATTTAGTGAGCCTTGTGTGTGTGTGTGTGTGTGTGTGTGTGTGGGAAAGCCTGTGCTGTTTCTGTGGAGACATTGCAGTATTAAATTTCAACATAACTGAGCTTGATCGATCTACACAGTGTTAATA